GCCGCGGCCCGGGAGCCGCTCCCCGTGACCCGCGCTCACTTCTCTTCTGGTTCGCCAGCCTTACTCACACCTGTCCTGTCTTGACTTTCTGTTTCATGCATAACTGTTATGCTTTATTCTTGATATAACCTGTCTAATTTTTTTGTAAAAAAAAGCAGAGTACAGACACATCAATTAAAACAAATGGTAGAGGATGAAAATGTTTAAAGGAAAAAATGTAAAGAAAAATATGTTTGGACATTAAGATGGCTGAGTTAAATACAAGGAAGTTCTTAATTTCAGAATACTTGCGATGAAAGTCATTACTGCCCATATTACTAATAATCAGATCGAGTGAAACAATTTGTTTTCAACACCTCTCCAATATGGGAATACAAGTCGGAGACCCTAAATATATGACATTACTTACCCCCTGAGGCACATTATGTTGTCATACGAAGAACGCAGTTTAATTTCAAAGTGAAATGTCACAACTGCTGAGAAAAGCAATTTCATGTATAAGGGCTTATATTACTGCTGGCTGGTAAGCCCGCCACATCTACCTGGACCATCTATGCTTTTTCTAAAATGCAGACGTGAAGCAAAGTAAAACACACAGACTTTAACTGGGCTTGAGCCTTGCCAAGACAGAAGGAGGTTTGATAGACAAGTTGATGAAGGCTTAGGAAAGACGCAAGGACTTCCCAGAGAGTCGGCCTGGGTAGCAAACGGCCTGATCGGACAGCATTCAACTCTATTCAATTACTCACAAGTGCAGCTGCTTCTGTACCCAACTAGTTCTTACAGAGACGCTGAGTCCTTTACCGCTTCATGTCCCACGTGCCTCCAGCAAAGTTCTTAAAGGCACCTCAATCAGGAGTCGTTAGACTAGAATGTCTCCTTAACATATATAGGGGAAAAAGAGATTTCAAAGATGAAAATATTGGTAAGGAGAAGAGGGAAATGAATGGCCTTAATGAAATCAGGATGAGCTGCTCACCAGAATATTAGATTTTCTGGCCATTTGACTTTGTCTAAATCCTTTAAAAATGATGCCCATCCCCCCTCTGTTTCCACGGAGCATACCAGATATGATCTCTGATCTGATGAATCACCATTTTTACTGGTCATTATTTTACACATCTAGCTCATTGACTAAGTCAGCTCCTAGCTTTAGTATAATTTCATCTGCTTGTGTCTAAAAGTAAAACGCATTTGAATTATTCATCATTCATTTCACAAATATTTATTAAAGTTTAATATGGTCCAAGCATGGAGGATCCTGGAAGAATATATCTTTTGTTCCAAAATGTTAACTCTCAAAAGTCAACACAAAATGCTAGAGAAATTATGGGAATAAGGAAAAGCCTGATTTAATATTAAATACATATGACAAACATATAGTTTGGGAGCCATCTGATGCATTAACATAATACAAATCTTCACTATCAGTTCAACAGCCATACTGTGTCTGCCATATAATAAGCAGAGGATACATTTAGTTTTTACATTAGTTTTTCTGTAAATGAATCCTAATCAATTTAGGGAACCTCTGTGATTAAAGAGAGTTAATGGCAAGTGAAAAAAGAGTAGAAAACGCAAAATGAAGTACGCTTAACCCAACGTTCATTTCAGACACTATTAATTTCCCTTTCAATAACTGTTCCACCTGGTGGCAATGCCGTGGATTTCAGAGAGATTTTAATCTTCCTCTGTCCAGATCCTATGCACTCACAGATACAAAGAATTTCGGAAGGGCTTTATCGTATTTGAAAAGCTTTGCCTGTCCTAATGCAGAGCCCTAAACATTAGGGCCATCACTGCCTGAATCCTTTCAAAGGAATTCTTAAAATGGCATGAAAACCACCTGTGGCCTATGACAGCACTGTTCACCGCAGAGAACGGTACACAATCCGTCTCGATCCCGAAGGAAACATGAAGGCATCGCACTAAGAGGCACAGCCCTGTGCTGCCTCCAGGGGTGCTCGGTGTGTGTGGGCTGGGGCTGCTCTGTGTGTTCTGTCTCCATTTCCCCCGAAAAGAAATGTTTAAGGGAAGCTGACAGTGTCGTCTGTTCCCTTAAACGCGGAGAACTCTGCACCGACATTACTGGGGCGAACCAGGCCCCGAGGGTGAAGCAGGCAGCTAGGCCCCAGGCACTGACTCGATACATACGTAGCTGTGCTCACACCACCTGTGCTGGTCTCCATGGCCGGGACGCCGCACGCACGTTTTCGTCTTAATGCAGTTCCTTGAACTTTTCACAGTGTCAACAGTGAAGCACTACCAGGCGCATACTAAGCGAAAGTTGCCACCAGTGCAAAGTCGGAGTTGGCTATGCTGTGCACAAGGAGTGCTGACAGGACCCAAGTTTCCACTCAGCTTCAAAGCAGTCTGCATTTCCTGACTTATTTCAAAACTCTGAGTAAAATCACACAGTATGTCAGAGGGTGTCTTTTTTGATGACAACTTTCTGAGGACACCTTAGTTCTCCCTTCTGATGGGAAGCGCACCATCTACAGGGATGCAGCCGTTGGAGCCTAAAGGAAAGACTTCAGTGGTTTCCTCTGTGGTCAAAACACAGTCACTGTGCAATCATCTTGAGAGAAAAGGTCTCCACCGCCCTCAAACAAGTAACCGGCTTTGTGTCGGGCACTGGAGAAAAGGAAGAAGGCTGTGTCGGAGCCGCAGGGCGCACGGTCCCACGGCCCCCGGTGTAACGACCCACCACAGCACAGACACACCCTAACTTGGGCACTCTGCCTAAAAATGCACTGATGCCAACGTGTGCTGCTGGGTGAATGATGCAACTATGAAGGACTAACATTTAATAAACCTCGGTAGCTGTGCTGGAGCATCAATCTTATGACATTGTCACTGCCAAACTATCGACTCCCTTTGCCCCTGGGAACAGTATGACATTGGGGCCCTGACTGGGTGGCAGTCTGGGGAGAAGTCTGCAAGGCTCCATGCCCATGGGTCACTGCATGGAGGGGCAAGCAAGCGGGAGGCCCAGCCAGGGTGTGTAAGGCCCTGCGGAAGCGGAATACAATGTCCTCAGTGTCCTCAGTCCACCTCTCGTGCCCTGCCCTGTCCGCTCCTGAAACTTAGTGCCTCAGGGACTGGACCCTCCAGCAGCGCTGGAGCCCGGGTTCCTCGCTCACCCACAGGATTGAGAGCATCGTGACCGCTGCTCTGACCCAGGAGGTGTCAGCAGCCCAGACCAGACCCGTCTCCCACTGACAAGGACTCTGCGGGTTGGGGCTGGGACCCACCGGATGAGAGCAGACACAGAGGACCGGGGAGACTAGAAAGCGCTGCACGGGACCCGCCTGAACTCAGGGCAGCACTGACACAGGACGGACAAAAGGGTTAGAACGTGCTTTGGGACCTCGTGCGCACATTAGAATCACCTCAAGTGCCTGCTAACCTTCTGAAGCCCGCTCCATCCTCAGAGCCATAGGCTTACTGTCCCAGGTGCGGCCTGGGCACCAGCGCTCTCTTAACAGCGAGGTGAGAGCTGCGGGGTCTGAGCTAGGCCCTGGAGGACCTGCCAGGTTAGATGCTGAGCTTCAGAAGATGGAGGCCGCGTGAGTGACAGCTAGACTTCTGGCCTGAGCAACTGGTTTAATTGCAGTGCCATTTACAGAGAAATAGGACTGGAAGCCCAGATTTTTATGTGAACTCTCCTGATATTTTTGATTTGGCAGTTTTTTAACATATCCATGTCAAGTCTGGGTAGGCCAAAAAATATATCTGTACAATAAACAATCTAAGACAGCTCTAGCATGCAGGTGACCAGTTACAGCTTCTGCCTTAAATCAGGGAGGTTAAACTCTAATTATGGATTTCACACTCTCACAGAATGTAGGAGGGAAATGTTCTGGAGACACTTGGAAACACATTGAGTATTACTTGACACCTCATTAAGAATAAAGGTGACCCGGTGTACCTTTCACACCATGATTGCGAATTTAATTCCTCCCTCCTCTCTCTCCCTCCCTCCCTCTTTCTGAGGAAGGAAAACATTTTTTCCCAAGGTCGTGGGTTAAGCCAGGTCTTAGACCTGATTAAGTCTCAGGTCTCTGCTACTTCCCAAATGTGGTTTTCTGCAGACATTTTTGGGGGGTGGGGGTGGGCAGGACACTTGTTACAGAGTTTTGCTTTTGAAAATACAATTTATATAGATCAGACACTTTTCTAAATGCATACTAGATTTTCAACAAGTCTACCATATTGCCAAAAATATTTCAAAGGTTGAGAGCAATAGCGCAGTGAGCCTTACAATAAAGTGTCCCTTAGGGAAAATATAACTCCCCCCCCCACACACACAGAGCACTCAACAAGGTGTCTGGATCAAACTGAATCAGGAGCTACACGGCTTCTACCTTACGAGAATCTAAGTTCAGAACACTCCTTCAAGAGAATTTATTAAGCAATAAAACTGTCAAATACCACTTTTTTTGTTTTGTTTCCATGTCACCTTTGTGCCATGATACACCAGGGAGCACCTGTCACAAAACCCAAGAGAGCAGAGGATCACTCATTAATCCCCCCGTGTAGTCACTTAGCTCATAATCTGGTACTTGGTTTTGTCTAAGTCGGGACTAATTTGGGGAAAAAAAGACATTGATATCTTTCTGTCAGATTCTGAGATGCAGATACCACACCTATAAACACACCAGGGTTCAGTCACATTTCACACACTTGAGTTCCACAGAGAGGCAGAACAAATCTTGTTATTTTCAGAACCACATGAGCAAGACTTTCCCTTCTCTCCTGGAATACGTGTTCGTGTTCTCCATTTGTATTTATCACATAACAGAGGAAACAAAGGGTCTTGAGGAATCTCACATGTCATAAGATAAACACATACTCTATGTAGAAAAGACAACAGTCGTCTGAGGCTTGAATTTGACTCTTCAGAGTAAGTTCCACTCTCGGTCAACAACAAGAAAAGCAGAAATGGACACAGACAGGATTCAAATGAGGTGTAAGCATCGACCGGAGGTTCTACCTACCTGTTCCAGGGAGGATCATCAAACCAATCCCCATCCAATGTGTCTGGGACGGTGCTGTGTGCTGAATGTTCCTTGCGGAAAGAAGCCAGGTGTCATGTCACCACGAAAGCTGAAAGCCAGACAAACAAAGGAGTGAGCTAATGTAAAACAAGATAAAGAGGAGGCAGGCTACCTGCATCACTCAGCTGTGAGATGGCATTTTAACTAAATGACCGATGTCACACATGGGAACCTATTGCAGCACTCTTCCTAATGCACTTCGTCAAGAACGCCTTGCACCCTACGACACTGTTAGCACCCTGCTGAGCGAGCGACCACGGCAGGTCCTGGGAAACGAGGGTCTGTGTGGCCAGTGTCTCCAGAGGGACTCCATCTCCCGTAGTTCGCGTCACACGGTCACACATTCTCTGTGTGTAGCTCCCAGTCATTGGGAGGACCTGGCATGCTCCCCCCTCAGAACGTGCACCTGATGCACATGCATCTACATCACATACAGGAAGCTGTGATGAGTCTCCACCAGTCTTACAGCAAATTAGCAAAGCGTCACTCACGTGACTAGTACAGTCTGTTACTTCACAGCAACGAGTATTTGACATTCACTCACCACTTCGATCAATATTTACTGAGTGAACAACATGAACCGGATGCGAGGTTGAGAAAATGAGCAGGACATGGTCCTGCCCTCAAAAACACCGAGTCCAGTCAAGTGAGACAGGCCACGCCGGGTGCCCACCAACCCCGAGAGCCAAGCACGTGCGCCTGTCCCCAGGCCAGAAGCTGTGAGGGGAGGGCGTGCTCAGAAGGAGCCTTGCAGGGGGCCGGCCACCATGATGCAGGGGGACAGAATGTGCACAGACGTGCCAGCAGAGCATCATTTTACAGATTCCAAGGGCTGGAAATCAGCCTAACCGTCCAAAGGACAGCACCTACCCCAGTGACTGTACAGAATGAGAACTGTTCACAAGGCCCTGCACAGGTACCTCATTCTGGCTTCACCATCTCTCTGCAAAGCAGGCCAGAGCGACCTCACCTCCACTGTATCGGGACACAGGCTGTGGGGCTGGCCCAGGACCACAGGGACTGGTCCCTCCTCCCGCTGCTGCAGGGAGGAGGTATGGCCACTCCAGTCCCCTGTCACTGTCCTACTTCAGGACACGGGCCTTCCTGACTGTGCAGCAGCCTGGGCTCCAGGCACAGCTGGCTGCGGCCACCAGTGCCTCCCTGTGTCCATTTCCAGGGCAGGGTGGGGAATGGGGATGAAGTCCACGTGTTTTCACCTCCTGAAACAGAGGTTTTTCACAAAAGACCTCTCTGTGGCCATAGTGAAGACAAGACTGGCGGCTGTGAGCTGTCCAGCAACCATGGAAAAATGGGGGGTGAGGAGGGCGATGGGGGTGAGGAGGGCGATGGGGATGAGGAGGGCGA